TTATAATATATATAAATAAATATTTATATATTTCTTGTGCGCGCACGCACGCAAGTGTTACGTTCTTTTCTCTCTACTTTCTTTTTACGTATATTTTCAGGGTGTAATAAATAAAAAAATACTGTCTATGTTTACCCAGTTCAAATAAACAAGGGTTATATACAAAAACACCCCTGTACTATGGACTGTGTATCATATACTCCCTGTTCTATGCATAAATACAAAACCCCACACATATCATTTTTTTCAAAATATGATGAAAATATCTCTATACATGCATATATATATATATATATATATATATATATATATATATATATATATATATATATATATATATATATATATATATTGAGCCATTTTTCCCTATATATTTTACAATTTTCAGTCAATTATTTTTCCAAAACATCCAATTCTTAGATTTTTTTAATTTTCAGAATAAAACTATTTATTTTTGTCATTTTGAGTTTCTTCATTTTTTTTTCTTAAATTTCTTCCGGTAGTTCAAACATCCTAAGATTAAAAACATCTTTACAATCATATTACTGTTGAGAATTTGAACTATCGGAAGAAAAAAATAATATGATTGTAAAGATATCAAAATTACTATCTTTAAAATCATATTATTGTTGAGAATTTTAATTAAATGTTTTGAAGAAGAAAATAAAAATATCAAAATTTTCCTAGTAAAATTGATCGAAAATGTCAAAAAATATCGTGAAAAATGGATCAATTTTATTTATAGGCTTAGTAAGGGTATTTTCGTCAGATTTTGAAAATAATATAACAACAGGGGGGGTTTTGTATTTATGTGTAGTACAGGGGTAAATGATACAAAGTCCATAGTACAGGGGTGTTTTTGTATTTCACCCAATAAATAATGGATTATGCACGCGTGTCTCCTATTTATTGCACTCTGATTATCATTTAACGGATTATGATAAATAGGTAATTCACACTGATTATGGGTTACGTTGCACGCACAGAGATTAATTGCCAAATTGGATTGCACGCGTGTCTCTCAGTCAATGGACCGCCCGCTTTTTATTCATATATCTATTAATTCCCCATCTCAAAATCAATTAAAGCATGGGGGCCTTTACCCCCTAACAGGTCCTACACGTTGACAACGCTGAGTGGAGGAAAAAAGGAAAAACATCTATTTAATCCACAGCCATTTCCTTCCAAAAAAAAATATCACTACTCATCAGTCCTTACAAAAATATCTACTATCGTCTTCTTCCACAGATCTCATAAAAAAGTTTCCGGTTAAAATTTTAACTTCCGATGGATTTCGTGTCCAACTTAGGCAAAGGAGATAAATCCAAGCCCGCTTCCGACCAGCCGGGATACATTGAGCAAGCAAAAGATTTCTTCAACAAGCCCTCCGACGCCGGAGCCGACAAGGGTGGCGGTGTTGTTGAGAAGGCCAAGGAATTCTTCAACCCCTCCGCCGGCGCCGCCGAGAGCACTGGAGGCGGTGTTGGAGAGTATGTTACGAAGACGGGAGAGTACTTGAGTAAGTCCGCCCAGGGTGCCGGCGCCGGCGCCAGCGACTGCATTAAGAAGGCCGGAGAATACTTGAACCAGCCGTTCGGCGGCGACGGTGCTGCAAAGAAATGACGACTCTCTGCATCTACTAATTATATATACATATGTATGTATGTATGTATTTCGTATTGCTTTCATGTTTGATGTGTAACTTAGGATTTACGTAAGTGGAATAACCAGATCTGTGTTAGAGATCGTTTGTTTAAGTGTTTTTATTTTTCTTTTTTTGTTTTTGCATTTCTTTGAGGTCTTATTAATAAAAAGATGTACTATGTTTACTTAATTTTGTTTTGAAATTTGGGGGGATTTTAAATGTCCTTAAATTGACTCACAAACTCATTCACTTTAGAATACTTATATTTTAGGGCAAATTAAGGTCTATATAGTCAAATTAAAAAAAAAAAAAAATCCCGTTGTTTGGGTAATTAAAGCCAAACCTCTTTTTTTAAATATTTTTATATAAAATTTATGTAATTCGGTTATTTATCGAACCCAATCGTATATTCAGTTTGTTAAACACTATGAAATATTTGGCGTACCGAAATTTGACTTTAAAATTTGAATGTAGGAAAGAAAATATCTTTGGGTTTACCCTAACAATATTAATTATGTAATAAAGAGAGGTTGAAAAACACAAATGGGGTAATTTTGTCAAATAAGAGTTTTTTTCTTCTAAAAATCAAGACTCTAAATAATTTTCGTTCAGTCTCATTTTGGGAGAATGCACGACAAGCGAACTCTCGTTTCGAGAGTACACTTACCAAATGAGCACTCATTTTGGAGCCGTATAGTCCGGTCGGTAAGTTTAGTCACGATTAATTGAATAATTTGATCTTATTTGATGTTTGATTAAAACAACAATTTTTTGGATGACCTAAAACTATGGGAAACAATGAGCTCTTATATAGTTTATTCATAAATTATTGAGTTGTACAATTCAATTTTATTAAGATTGTATAATCTTATCTAAAGCTAATTATTACTAATATGATCTAAAAACAAATTATTATTATTATTATTATTATTATTATTATTATTATTATTATTATTATTATTATTATTATTATTATTATTATTATTATTATTATTATTATTATTATTATTATTATTATTATAAGAGTGAGGGGGTGTTTGCTACCTAGTACCTACGTCCACGACACCAACTACAGTCGACATTGAATATTAATTTAATAATTTAACAAAAAAAGTTAGGACTTCCAACGTTGCACCTACAAATACCATACACGTAATTAAATAAAATACTTTTTTTTTTCTTCTTTATTTGTTAATTAGTAATTGAATTGACTAAATTGAGACCACATGATTGTGGGTTTTGTTTGGTTGTCATTTACTCATTTTACAAACTCATCATATTCATTCATTCTTTTCTTTTTTTCCCTCCCTCTTATCTTAGGATATGATATTTGTTAAATACCATATTTTAACTATTATGATATTAAACTTATAATAAAAAAAACCAAATTTCTTACTAATTAAATAATTAGTTAGTCTAATCCGTATTAGTCGGATGTAGCAAGAATTCAATTCGTCTCCTACTATATAAATACGAATTAACAATAGAGTCTATATAGATATATTTTTTTAACAATAAAAAAATTATCCATAATGTTTTTTACAAAATGTTTATGTTAAGGGCATATTAGTCATATATATAGTATTTTGGAGCCGTTATCAATAATTATATGCTGCCGACACTATTAAATATCTTTTTCTTTAATTGCAAAAATAAAATAAAAAAACGCACTCTCACCGACATCATACCTTGTGGGTCCCTTCCCAAACACAGCTGTGTATGACACGTTAGTATTTGTTTCTAAAGAAAACAAAAGAAGAAAATTATATTTAACTCTGTTCTTGCTAAATAAATATATAATGGGACGATTGCATTATTGCATATATCCTTTAGTGTAATGATTTTTCTTTTTTATATATTTTTTTAATTCAAAAGTTTTTTTTTTTATATAAAAAGCATGGGTTTAGGGACCCAGGTTTACAAAATTAAGCTTTAGAGAAAAAAAGGAGTTCACTTTTTAATCATTAAGTAATATAATGATTTCTTTTTTGAATTGATTAAAAGGCATTTTATTAAAAAAAAAAAAAACATGTATTACCTTTTCTTTTTGAACGAAATGATGCAGTTGTTGGGTAAAATTCATTTTAGTCCCTGAGCTTTGCAGCCAAAATCAAATTCATTCCTGTGTTTTTTATTTGTTTACTGTCATCCCCTGAAACTTAATTTCACTGTTAAAATCAATCATTTTTCACAAAATGCTCAAATTGCCCCTTGAAAACCTGGGAGACTAAAATGAAATTCAGCCCTGAACTCTTTTTTGGTGAACACCACAAAATAAAATGATAGTTAATAACATTTCAAGATCTTAGAACTTATTTTCTCTCATTAATTCAAACAATATCTAAAATACACACAAATCTTATTTTATGTTTCAAATTCTTGTTGCAAATTATTTTTTCAAATCTTTAAACATAAATTAACTACTAAAGTACAAGTTATTTCTTCTTAAAATACAAATAAAAATATAGTATTTGAAGATTATTCCACTAAAACATTTTTCAAAATCAAATAACATCATAGACTTAAATATTACAAAACATTGTGGCTTTAAAAAAAACATGTTTTAGTAACTCTGCATTCTCGGCGTGTGAATTACCACGTTAGACTATAACAACATTAGTTTGATTCCATATGTTGTAACAATTAATTTCATAAGCAGGGGCGGAACCAGGATCAAAATGCAGGGGGCTAACTAAAATTTCGGGGTTCGGGCAACGTCTCAAAAAGAAATTTAGGTTCACAAGACATAGCAAAGATAAGTTTATACTGATAATTTTTAATTAAAATAGCATATATATTATAGTTTTATCATATTTTAAGCATGAAAAAAAAATCTTAATGTATTGCACTTAAATATTTTGAAAATTAATGGCATCGTCTCATATTAGTTTGAAGAGACACCGATAAAAAAATTCAAAAATAAGTAAATATTATCACTTTCCAACAAAAAATATTAGCAACAAATTTGACATGAAAAGAAATATAGTTAATTTCGTAACATACATTTATACATAATTATTTGTTGATTTGTTTCCCATAAGTTCTAGTAAATATTATTAAATATAATTTTAGTTCAATATATTTTGTAGAGAAAAAAAGTGGTATTTTGGGCTGAGTTTCATTTTAGTCCCCAAGTTTTAAAAGGGTAATATGGGTATTTTGGGAGAAAAAAATGAATTTTAGCAGTAAAATTATGTTCCAGGGATGATATTGAACCCAATTAAAATCAGACGCGATGAATTTAATTTTGATTGCAAATGTCAGGGACTAAAATGAATTTTACCCTGTAGTTGTTAGTTTTTGCAAATTTAAATCCAATTATGGTATTAATAATTATATACATATCACATGAAGAATTAGCTCCAAAAAAAAAAGGTAAATTATTAACAGACACCTGATGTATGCTTAAATAATTTAAGTCTTTGTAGTATCGATAATTACACCCATCCCCTGAAACATAATTAGAAACTCTAATGAGATAATGCATTGGATACGTTATTCCGATAGTATTCTAACGGACTATTAGTTTCATGAAGTGGTGGAGAAAACAACGAGTTATGTGTGACTTAAGAAATGTTGGGGGAGCCATGTCACCCGCTAAATCTACGTTGTCTCCATCACTAGCTAAAAATAATAGTCCGTTAGAATCCTATCGAAATAACGTATCAAATGCATTATCCCATTAGAGTTTCTAACTATGTTACAGGGATGAGTGTAATTATCGATACCATAGGAACCTAAAATTATTTAAGCATACGTGAGGGGTATGGGGTAATTTAAAAAAAAAAAACAATTATGTTTTCATGCAATGATAACTTGTGGTAGGACACTCCGATCCCAAACAAGCCCTAGTGGCCGCGACACGTTCACTACACTTAAAATACAAATAAAAAAAATATATATTAAAAAAAGAAATAAAAGAATTCCCCTATTTATAATCCACTCCATTCCTACCAATTTCTCATCAAAATTATATTAAGCTCCTCCAGAAATATTGAATTATCTTCTTCTTCCCTGATCTCATATATAATTTTCTTAATTTCCGATGAATTTCTTTTCCAACATAGCCAAAAGCGCTCAGTCGAAGCCCAGCTCCGGCGACGACAACAAGGAAGAAGAATCCTCAAAGTACGATGTTTTCGGCAGTGCGAAGGTGGTTGCCGAGGCAGCTCAATCTCAGTTCACCAACCAACCGGAGAAGTGCGACAAGCCCAAAGTCGCCGGCGCCTCCGCCGATCTCATCGGCGCCGCCTCTGACTACGGAAAACTAGACGAAACCAAGGGTGTTGGCAAGTACGCTGATCAGGCTGAGGGCTATCTCCGCCAGTACAGCGCTCCCAAGACCACCGCCGCCGCCACAACCCCGGCTACCACCGCAACTGACGCCGCCCCCACAGCCGGTGATGATAAAGAAGCCGCCCCTGCCGCCCCCACTGGAACCACCGGCGCTGAACACCCTTCCGGTGGCGCTGCCGGCTATATTGAACAAGCAAAAGATTTCTTCAACAAGCCTTCGGACGGTGGCGAGGGTGCCGATGCCGATGCCGGTGCCGGTGCCGGCGGTTATGTTGAGGAGGCAAAGGAATATTTTAACAAGCCTTCTGAGGGCGGCGCTGAAAGTGGCGGTGCCGGCGATTATATTAAAAAGGCCGGTGAGTACTTGTCCAAACCATCGGAATCCGCCGAGGGTGCCGATGATGCTAGTGGCGGTGGATATGTAGAGAAGGCAAAGGAATACTTTAGCAAGCCTTCCGAGGGCGGCGCTGAAAGTGGCGATGCCGGCGCCGGCGGTTACATTGAGAAAGCAAAGGAATACTTTACCAAGCCTTCTGAGGGCGGCGCTGAAAGTGGTGATGCCGGTGCCGGCGGTTATATTGAGAAGGCAAAGGAATACTTCATCAAGCCTTCTGAGGGCGGCGCTGAAAGTGGCGATGCCGGTGCCGGCGGTTATATTGAAAAGGCAAAAGAATACTTTACCAAGCCTTCTGAGGACGCCGCTGAAGGTGGTGGTGCCGGTGATTATATTAAGAAGGCCGGTGAGTATTTGTCGAAACCGTCAGAATCCGCCGAGGGTGCCGATGCCGGCGCCGACGGTGGATATGTTGAGAAGGCTAAGGAATTCTTCAGCAAGCCTTCTGAGGGCGGCGCCGAGGGTGCTGATGCCGGCGCAAGCGGTTACATTGAGAAGGCAAAAGAATACTTTACCAAGCCTTCTGAGGGTGCCTCTGTTGAAAGTGGTGGTGCCGGAGATTATATCAAGAAGGCAGGTGAATACTTGACCAAACCGTCGGAATCCACCGAGGGTGCCGACGCCGGCTCTGGCGGTTACATTGAAAAGGCAAAAGAATACTTTACCAAGCCTTCTGAGGATGAGGATGCCGCTGTTGAAAGTGGTGGTGCCGGCGATTATATCAAGAAGGCCGGTGAGTACTTGACCAAACCGTCGGAATCCACCGAGGGGGCCGATGCCGGCACCGGTGGTTACATTGAGAAGGCCAAAGAATACTTTACCAAGCCTTCTGAGGATGAGGATGCCGCTGTTGAAAGTGGTGGTGCCGGCGATTATATTAAGAAGGCCAGTGAGTACTTGACCAAACCGTCGGAATCAACCGAGGGGGCCGATGCCGGCACCGGTGGTTACATTGAGAAGGCCAAAGAATACTTCACCAAGCCTTCTGAGGATGAGGATGCCGCTGTTAAAAGTGGTGGTGCCGGCGATTATATTAAGAAGGCGAGTGAGTACTTGACAAAACCGTCGGAAACCGCCGAGGGTGCCGATGCCTGCGCCGGCGGTGGATATGTTGAGAAGGCAAAGGAATTCTTCAACAAGCCCTCTGAGGGCGGAGCTGAAAGTGGTGGTGCCGGTGATTATCTCAAGAAGGCGAGTGAGTACTTAACCAAACCGTCTGAATCCACCGAGCATGCCGATATTGTTGGCGCCGACGCCGGATATGTTGAGAAGGCAAAGGAATTCTTCAACAACTCTTCTGAGGGCGGCGCTGAAAGTGGCGGTGCCGGCGATTATATTAAGAAGGCCGGCGAGTACTTAAACAAACCGTCAGAATCAACCGAGTGTGCCGATGTTGCCGGCAGTGGATATGTTGAGAAGGCAAAGGAATTCTTCAACAAGCCTTCTGAGGGCGGCGAGGCCGGTGGGTATTTGAACAAGCCATCCGGCGGCGACGATGAAAAAATCGAGGCTTCATCGGAGTCCGGAGGTGGATATGGAGGTTTGATGAAGATGGCTGGTGGATTTGTGAAGAAAGACTAATTTTATGTAATTATGTTCATCTTAGTGTTTAATTGTTGCTTTCATGTTTGATATGTTTGATGTGTAATTTAGGATTTCCATATATGTTTACCACATTTGTGTTGAGAGTTTTCTTCTTCAAAGTGTTCTTTTATTGTACATTTTGAGTTTGTAATAAGAAAAAGAAAAAAGGAAAAATGAATTATGCATGTTCGGTTAACTTTATAAGCTGTTAAAATAAACTAATCAGATGTTTAAGAGTATATAAACTCCTTAAAAAAATCTTAAAAGTTTCGAATAATTTGGTGGAAAGCAAATAAGACTTAACAGTTTATTTGACGTTATCAGCTGTCTAAAATAAGTTTATCCAAACATGCCCTTAAGTGTGTTCAGAATTTTGGGAGAGGAAAGGTCCCTTGAATCACATTAGAAAACTCATATTTTTCAATTTAATTAGCTAAAAATTCCTAAAATTTGTATAATCTTAATTCTTATCTTAATCTAATTTTTTTATTTTCTTTTAACAAATCCGACAATGCATGCATGAAGCCCACTGAACAGCTTGTTAACCTATAACAAAACAATGGGCTTGTGGCCCAAACAAGGTCCTAAAACAATCAGATCCTCAAAATTATTACTTATATAATTAATATATATAATATTTCTCAAAATAAGAGAGAGAAAGTGAGGAGAGAGAGGGAGAGAAAAATGAAAAGAAAAGGCAAGTTCTTTCTCTTCTGATCTTCAATTCCAATATAATTCTCATCAAAATCACGAAATTTCTTGCGTAATTCACAAATTCCGGCGATTTTTTTTTTTATTGAAGCTTCACGTTTCCATGCAAAGCCCTTTTGTAAATAGAGGTACAATCGTTCATTTCTTCATTTTTTTTTTCTTCTGGTTTTGGGGGAGGGGTGGCGGAGCTTTTTTGCATGTTATAATTTTGCAATTACTGCATCGTTTTTGTTTAACAATTAGCTTTTTTTTTCTGTAATCGAAATCGATTTCTCAACATAGCAACATTTCATGATGAAATGTCGAAATCGTCAAACCCCTGATCATGCATTGTGGGATGTAATTGAGGAACTTTTAATTTAGTCCTTTGTTGATCTCGATCATGAGTTGCAATATTGTGATTTCAATTTTTTCATTTTTTTTTCAATGTCAATTGTTCGGTTGTGAATTTGTCAATATAAATGTTGAGAAAAGAATACAGTGGAAAAAATAAATTGCATTGAATATTTTTTTTTCAATTCTTTGAATTGCAATTTAACAATGCAATAATATATTCATGTGATTCGTTGAATAAGGCAGTGAAAATTGGATAGTATATTCGATGACCTTTACGGAAATCCTCTCGTTCGATGAATTGAATCTTCGAAGACGATACGGTGGGTGTGTAACTAACCTTTATTACCCTATGTTTTCGGTGCAGGAGGCATGACCATAACTTTCATCTTGAAAAACCATGATTTTTATCCACTGTAAGGAGGCCGACACTTATCTCGTTACATCATGTGGAGATCTATATCACGTTCGATAATCCCAGGTTTCGGGCGAAAGGAGAACATTTCCGAGCTAGCCAGATCTTGCCACGATTTGTCCGACGACGAGACATCCTCGAACGCCAGCTCAGACGAAGGGCTCGAATGCCCGATATGTTGGGACTCGTTCAACATTGTGGAAAACGTGCCCTACGTTTTATGGTGTGGACACACTCTGTGCAAGAACTGCGTGCTGGCTCTTCGTTCGGCTTCTCTCAAGTTCTCCGCGCAACACATCAAGATTCCGTTCTTCGTTTCCTGCCCATGGTGCAATTTGTTGACATTCCGATTCTCTTACAAGGGGAATCTTCGATTCCCAAGCAAGAATTACTTCCTTCTCTGGATGGTCGAGAGCAGAAATGGCGACAGAGTGAATAATCAGTATCACTCTTCTAATACTGCCAATAGGAGAATGCACCGTCTTGGTCGGCAAATTTCCAGCATCAATAATAATAATGATAATAATAATAATCGTGGCCGCTACACCAACAGCTTCACTTCTGAAAGGCGCCACCTGTCACTCCACAAGTCGCTGGATTTATTCATTCGAATGACAGCTAAGTTTCCGTTGGTTATACTGCTTTTGATAGTTGTGTTTGCAGTGCCCGCTAGCGCTGCTGTCTTAATGGTGCACATGGTAATAACAGTGCTGTTTGCACTACCGGCCTTCTTGGTGCTGTATTTTGCGTATCCTGCTTTCGATTGGCTGCGACGAGAAATCAGAACTTGAACCACAAGATTTTTTTTTTGTCTGATCTGCTGATTTTTTTTTTATTTTTTATTATTTTGAAGTTTTTGAACAAATCTTTCCTCGATGAGGGAAAAATACGTTTTTGTATCCTGTAACAATTTTTATCTTTTATAATTAGTATTTTAACTAAATTTTTCCCCGATGAAGTTAAAAATGTTGACGATGATGCCCTATACATTATGTTGGCTACATATTCAATGATTTGAGGCTTCAAACTTCGGATTCACTATTCTTCTTTCTGATTATCGGGTAAGTTTATTGCTTGTGGATTTGTATCTATTATTATTTCGACCTTAGTTGGTAGCATGCATTCTGGTAAATTTGTGTTCAAATTACAGTTATATTGCCAGTTTTAATATTACAATTTACACCATTGTTTTGTTAGAAAACCGTACACATCAACAATTTTTTTACAAGTTTTCTTTTCAAAAGCACAGGCAAGTTGCGGGTAGCATCCCGGTTAATCTGATTTTATTTGCCTTGTCTTTCGCTTTGGACTCCTCGTTTTTTCGGTTCTTCTCTGCCTGCACCCTTGCCCCACCTGCAATCCCTTCGACTCTTGCAATCTTCACTTTGTAGCTTTGCACTGCTCTTGCTCTTCTCTTATCCAATTCAGCCTAACCAAAAAAAATTGTTATCTTGTTTTACGAGACGCGAAATTAATCTTGATTAATTTCTACTGTTTTAGATTGAAGAGCTATATCAAAAAAAGAAAGAACCTCTATCTTTTCTATTTTGCGTTTCGCCTTCTTCTTCTTCTTAGTCTCCCAGTTATCAACTGTTGCCCTCATCTTCTCATACCTGACATATCCATTTCTCCCGTTATATGGCTAGAGAGAGGGAGAGAGAGAGAGAGAGAGAGAGAGAGAGAGAGAGAGAGAGAGAGAGAGAGAGAGAGAGAGAGAGAGAGAGAGAGAGAGTACCGTTCTTTAATGCTAGCCATCTCTTCTTTCTCCCACGCATCTGCTCTAGGGTCCCGTGGTATTGCACGATCAGGCTTTTGCAAAGTAATATCAGGTTTTTTTATTTCAGTGATCTTCAATTGCTTGTCTGCAACAGCTGGAGGCCTTTTCATGGACGGAGCCTTCTCAACTGCCGATTTTTCAGGTTTGTTACTAGCACCAGCAATTTCATCCATGTCAGCAAAACTTATTTTCTTTTTCACCGACGGTTGCTTTTCAGGGATCTTTGTATTCGTCGAGGTGCTTATTGGCAGCTTCTTATCAGAACCATCGAAACTTTTCCTCGAAGTTCCATCTGTTATTACGCAAAAAAAAAAAAAAAAAAAAAAACGATCAACAACTGATACACAGAAGTGATTTCAAGAAAAGATGTAAATTTTTTTCACCTGAGGACCTGAGAACACCTTTAAGTGGTTCAGGTAAAGCTTGTTTATCATCTACTTTGCTCTTTATCTTGTTCAGTGACTTAGAATCCGTGCCGTATTTCGTCTCGTTTTTATTTGGAGTTTGTGATTGTTCGAGTGATTGAATAGCATAAGCTGCTGCTGCAATAGCGGTGGGATATTCGGCACTACTGGAATCGTAATCCCAGCTCATTTGTCTGGATAATTGTCTTCTTATCCAGCTCGGGTTTCTTTTTTTCTCTGCACACACACACACACACTTTTCATTAGGGTAAAAGATTATATTTTGATGAGTCTATAAAATAGGGTAAACTCTATTTTAGCATACCTTTGAAGGTTGTAGTGCTGCTTTTCTCCTCTTTGTTATCCTGTCCTGTACCACCAGCAAATCTTGATCTGCAAAAAAAAAAAAAAAAACAATTAGGAAAAAAATCGAACAAATTGGATTAGAGTTGTTAGCATTTTCAGAAACATTATGTTTTTTTCGATTGAATTTGAATGTGAAAAATCATTTTTTTTTTCTTTTCGTAATTATTTCCAGAAAGTAAAATTAGATTGGAAACGAGAATTTCTCCGAAAAAATATTTTGGAGTAAATTGGAATGGAAATATAAAATGATTCCAACGTTGAATATACTAGAATCGAAGTCAGCTGAACAAAAAAAAATTACGATTACACCCTTAGAAATGAGGTTATTTAATGTATTGCAGAAGAACAAAGAGTTCACCTTGTTTGCTTGATTAAGCTCTCCATTGTTTGTGAAGATAATTAAATTGTTAGTATTTTCATGAAATTTTTGGTGCTTTATTTGAAGCAGTAGCAGTTTTAATTAAATAAGGCTTTTCTTTTCTTTGCATGCAAGTTCTGGTTTTGGAATCTTTAAAACCATTAATGTAAAAATACCTTTCTCCAACTTTTTGGAACCTATTTTTACTTGTAAGAATATTCTTTTCTTTCCACTTAAAGTAATTTCAAGAAAGTAGATAGTCTTATTTCTTGGACTAGTTTAACGCAAGTTATTCCTTGGTCGTCTGTTTTTCCAATGATTTATTAGAATTAAAAAAAATAATAAGAAAATCCCATATTCTTTTTTCTTACCAATAAATAGAGGGGGTTTTCCCCCCCTTCATCAGACTTCTGAATTTCAATATTTAGTATTTTCCCATGTTAGTAGTGTGCCACCAATTAAAATTACGAAATTAAATCGAGTTGATCGTATTACTGTTCAAGTTTATTTAAATTTTTATTGCGCTTTGAAAAATAATTTTAATTAATTTGACTGAAAAAAGAAGAGAAAAACCTTAAAAAGGATCCAATAGTATAGTTTTAAGAACATGCAGGAGCCTTAAACCCTCTAAGTGTAGCAAAAACAATCGAATCGGGGGCGATTGTAATAGGCAAAGTTGCATCGACAAGCTGCGGGTTCATCGATGGAATCTCCAAAGATTCCGTGAGCTTCAACGGTGTTCCGTTCAGTAGCAACACGTCACTTAGAATATTCCCATCTTTAGGTGTCAAATGGTACTCTTCCCTTTGATTCGAATCACCACTAATATCTTCCAACGACTTTGTTTCTTCATTAGGGTATAAATTCATGTCTTCTACCACCGATACTTCAAATGTTGTCGAATTCGACATGTTGATCAGAAGAACCGAAATTCCAGCCTGGAAAATAAAAATAAAAAATAAAAAAATCAAAAAGATCAAGAATTTACATGTTGATTAGAATTCTTGATGTTAGAATATGAAACTTACTGTTTTCTTGGAGCAATGAGAATATGCACGTAAGTAAGGGGAGCCGTCGTGAGTTGCAGAGAGCACGTTTTTGCCCATCAAACGGTGCCATAAGAGGGCTCTTTCGATTGAAAAAAAACAGAGAGAAATGCTAATTAGTGTGAAGTGATGAGAATTAATGTATTCTTGATTAGTACTTAATTACCCGTAATAATCGGGATTAGGAATGAAGGTTGTGGTGTTTAAGAGAGCATAGTTTCCTCCAATCAAGGCTTGTCTGCAGAAAACCTTATGGTTGAATGTTGATGTCATGCCTAGTTGATCCAAGTACCTGCACCTCAGTTCAAACACACACTTGTAAGTGTGTGTGTGTGTGTGTGTGTGTGTGAGAGAGAGAGAGAGATACAAACCAGAAACCATTAACAAAGGTATGAGATACAGATTTGCCACCGCTGTTGTAGGCCCCACCAGCTTCACCAACCCATGCACCCGACCATTGTCCGTACAGCTTGACCGTGGTCGAAACATCCTTGTATGTTTGAGCTACTTGATCGAGAAAAAATGGATCTTGAATCTTGTCGATTAAAGTTGGATCGACACCTATGCAAGGAAGCAGAAACTAAATTAAATCCAAGAAAACACAAAACTGTGTGTTTTGTGTGTGTCTACAAACCTGCACCAAGATTGTAGATATGGTGAGTTAAACCATCAACAACATTCGGGCCCGACGTCTGAAGAAATGTATTGAACCATTCTTCGTCGTAAAAACCGCCGGGACCCAATACCTTGGGTTGTGTATTAGGGTCAGGGTACAATTTTTGAACTAGTTTTTTCAGAACAATCATATCTTTTCCGTATTGTTCGGCCTCGATTCTTCGAGCCACCCCACTTCCACATAGCTCATTTCCTTAAGACAAAAGTTAATGCTAAATAAAACAAGACAAAAGAGTTTCTAAGTAAGAGATATCTGGTTTTATTTATTTTTTAACTTGTTACCGAGTTCATACGAGTCGATCTTGAAACCTTTAGAGGCGGTGTACTTCATGAAATCGTGGGCGTTTTTGTGGTTCCATTTGCCTGTCATTAGTGAATTGTCTTGAGAGGATTGCTTTCTCCCAATAAGAGCATTCAATCCAAAAGTAATCTTAGCCCTGCAAGAACCCATTTTTTTTCGACTTAGTTTTTGTTTTGTTAAAAATCGAGAAAACGGGTCGAGTACGAACATATACACGCGTACCCCGTTTGGTTGAACAGATTGTTCAACTGATCCCATCTATCCATGTGAAGACACCCTTTTGAAAATCCAAAGAGGCCAGTTTCTTGTTTCTTGAAATGTGGGCATTTTTTTGCTGGTTTCCCAATTCTGTATATAACCTGATCTTGCAATGAACCCCCAACTCGTATCCGAAGGTGATCGAAAGCTGATTAATTATTTTTTTTTTCTTTTGTTAGATAACAGAAACAACCCCTTTCAAGTTTTAACCTAAGACAAACAGACATTATTATTATAAAAAAAAAAAACACACACACACACACACACTGGCACAGACAGGAAAAACAGAACTAAACTAACCCTTGATGGCGTTTGTAAGAATCTTGTTTTCCAAATCCTGCAAGAATAGTAAAAAAATTAAAGAAAATAAAGGGTATTTAACACAAGCTGCTTTTTTTTTTATTTTTTTTTATTTTGAGAAAGATGAAAGAGAGGTAATTAATAATAAGAAATAAATAAATAAATAAATAAAAATACCAGATTAAGAATGCCAGATTTTGCCCAAGGGCACTGATTGTAGTCACATTTGTTTTGAGGCCACCAATCCAAAGTAGCACAGATGAAGTTATCATCAGTTTTGGCTATGGAGTTCACTCCTTTCACTGTCAATTTCACCTCTTCTGCTGCTGCAATGCACACCCAAAATAATGATAAAATAGTGCTGCTAATTATAATCCTCCACTCCATCTTTATTAATTTATTAATTTATAATATTTTCTTTGGAAAATAATTTATATATATATATATATATATATATATATATATATATATATATATAGGATAAAGCACGAGGGTTTTGAGGAACGAAGAATACGGAAAGGTTGCTGCTGTGGATAAGTATAAATCTGTTAATCTTCATCTTCTTTCTCCTGGATTTTGAATTCAGTGTTCTTGGAAGATGGACCTTTTTGTATCTATGTATCTATATCTGTATCTCTCTATATATGTATATGTATTATATATATCCCAAACACTATTCTCAATTAAACAAATATCAAATGTGAACATTTTACACCCTGACCCAAGTATATATACTCCCTGTAATTACACAATCTAATTTGTATTTTCAATTCTCGCACCTTAAAAGAATTATTTTATTGAAAGGAATAATTAAAAAAAAATTATACAATTAAAAAATCTATTGAAAAATTCAATATTTTAAAATTTAAAAATATGGTCTTGGGTACATACTCAATAAAGAACATATAATTGTTGTGGATCAATTAATCGAATATATTAATATGGTTTTAAGAAATCAATACATAACTAATAGTAATCTTGAATATTCAAAACTATTTCATTAATTTATTAAAGTATATTCTCATTCATTCATTATTATATAGTATATATGCCTTTGTAATTTTAGTTTTCAATAATTTAATTTTAGTTATTTTTCATTTTTTTTATAATATGATAATTACTAGATTGTTATGTTTACTATTTTTAAAATTTAAAATTTTAAAATTTTAAATTTAAGGGGCAAGTGTTACATAAACTATATTTTAGAGGTTCTAAGTGTATTTTGATCCTAAATTTAATTTAACCAACTAAGAGGGTGTTTGGCTAAGCTTATAAGATGTTAAAAGGAGCTTATAAGATGTTTTATATAAGCTCTTCCAAAGTGTTTGGTAATTTTTTTAAAAAAGATCTTAAAATATTTTAAAAATAAGCTGTTGGGGAGCAAATAAGATCTTTTTAAAAAAATACCTCTACCCCACCTTTTTATTTAAGATCTTATTATGAGTAAAAATAGGAAATAAACTAATTATCCAAACACTCTAAAAATTAATCCAAAAAATAAGACGTAATAGCTTATCAGCTCTTAAAACATCTTATCAGACTTAGGTACTTATCAGCTGTTTAAAATAAGTATATTTATCTAGAAAATGACGTGTGTATTAACTAATATATAACCAATTTAATTATTTTTAATTAACAAATATATTTTCTTGTAATTGTGTGCAAATGAGGTCGGAAGTCGAACCAGATGAGCAGCAGCAGATGCCTTCAGCTACTGGAAAAATGCAGGAACATAAACCAATTGAATCAAGCCCACGCGCTGGCGATCGCGTGTGGGCTCGGCAGCAACAGCTTTGCTCTGAGCAGAATCATCGCGTTCTGCTCCGACCCTTTTCACGGCAGCCTCTCCTACGGTTACAAAATCTTCCAACACATCGAAAACCCCACGATCTGCATCTGCAATACAATGATCAAGGGTTTCTTGCTCAAAGGCGAAAGCTTTGAAGCCATACGAATCTACAAATTGCTGCTGAGAAATTCCACGCGCCGCCCTGATAATTACACGCTCCCCTATGCCCTGAAAGCTTGTACGAACATGGGAAGTTCGAATCTAGGAGAATCGATTCATGGGCATGCTGCGAAATTAGGGTTTCTGTCCGATAATTTTGTGGGGAATTCTTTGATTGTGATGTACTCTGATTTTGGTGAAATGGGAGCGGCGAGAATTGCTTTTGATGAGATTTATTGCCACTGTGTTGTTTCTTGGACGGTTTTGATTTCTGGGTATGCTAAAAAGGGGGATGTTTATTCGGCAAGATCGGTTTTCGATGAAGCCCGATTGAAGGATAGAGGGATTTGGGGTGCTATGATATCAGGGTATGTGCAGAACAGTTGTTTTAAAGAAGGATTGAAATTGTTCAGGTTGATGCAGTTGAGTGGTATTAAGCCCGACGAAGCGAATTTCGTTAGCGTTCTTTGTGCTTGTGCTCATTTGGGATCGCTCGAGATCGGGAAATGGATTCATATATATGTGGGGAAGGTCGGAATGCGAGTAAGTGTTAAATTAGGTACTGCCTTGATCGACATGTACTCGAAATGTGGGTGCTTGGATTTGGCAGAACAGGTGTTCGATAAATTGCCCCACAGAGATGTTATTTGCTGGAACACTATGATTTCGGGATATGCTATGAATGGTGATGGAGAAAGTGCTCTGAGGTTGTTTGATAAGATGGAGAAGTTAGGGGTGAGGCCGGATAATGTGACGTTCGTTTCTTTGTTCAGTGCTTGTAGCTACTCAGGCATGGCAAAAGAAGGCCTGCGTTTGTTGCGTACTATGTGTAACGTGTACAAAATCGAGCCCACAAGCGAGCATTATGGATGTATAGTCGATTTGCTCAGCCAAGTAAAACTCGTTGAAGAAGCTAATACCATAGTTCGAAGTATGCCTATTTTGGGTTCGAAATCTGAAGAAGCTATACCTTGGAGAGCGCTTCTTGGTGCTTTTTGTAGCCAAGGGCGTGTCGATTTGGCTGAGGCTGCTGCAGATAGAGTTGTGAATTTAGAACGGCATAGTGGGGCCTACGTTTTGCTGTCGAACGCGTATGCATTTGCAGGGAGACACGATGAAGTGAGAAGAGTGAGAAAGATGATGAAAAAACGAGGTGTGGAGAAAACACCGGGCTGTAGCTCGGTGGAGATTAACGCTGTTGTTCATGAGTTTATTGCTGGGGAGAATACACATTCCCATATGGATGAAATATTCGAACTTCTGGGGATAATTAAGAGGCAGTTAGATTCTTTGCAGTGTGACTTTCTTGATTCTTTCAAACATAATAAATTTGTATAAGTTCGGGTTTTCTGCATAACGACGAAGGTATTATCTATATACACTTCAGGCAAGTTTGATCGAGCCTGAAGCCCCAATGATGTTTTTTCAGTTGGGAGCTAAAGCTTACATGAATCAATTTTACGAAATAACTGCTGCTGATCAATGAATTACCGAAAATATAAATACTAATAGGAATTTAAATACTAGTCAAAACTTTCGTTTGCCTAAAAGAGGAAGTCTGAATCGGCAAGTTCCAGGACTTTGTGGTCGCCGACAGGTTTCACGCCTGGCCGGAATGAATTTCCTTCGATGTACCTATGTGAAGGATTGAGAAAGTAAATTAATTCTTTTAAATCTTTCAACTAAAAGTTGCCAAAACTAACTCTGATGTGGAACTTACATCTCCTTTAAAAATGGATGCTTGTAGAAGGTATCGGGAATCCTCCCGGAAAATTGGTTGTGATCCAAGTACCTGAATCGGAAAAAATAATGTAATGTATCACCGCATATATATATAAGGTATACAGTTCATATACGTATAACATAAATGAAGTATACTTACAAGTAGGTCAATCGAGGAATATGAGCAAGCCCGAATGGTATAACTCCAGACATCTTGTTGTAGGATAAATATCTGGAACGAGAACAAGCGGTTAACTCCCAAATTAGCAAAGTATATACAGAAAGAGAAGGAAGAAAAAATTCAATCGACGGGATATTTCCTTAGTAAAGACAAAAGCCTTACAAGATCTCCAAGTTTGTCAAATTAGCAAGCTGTGATGGAACGCCTCCAGTAAGGTAATTGTTGTTAAGGTACCTGCAACATTAAATACGCTCGATTAATGAACTAATAAATACAATCAACAAATTGCTGAATTAATGGAGCATACAGATTACGAAGAGCTGGGAAGCATCCTTCAATGCGAATGAGTTCCCTTATGGTTCCAACCAAGTGATTATTACCAACATCCCTGAAAAAAAAACAGTTTAAACTGAATTAGCTGAATGAGGAAAGGACAGCGATAGCAAGTATTAAGATGTTGTCAGAATCTTACAAGTGGCGCAGATTTGACAAAGTTCCTAATTCAGGTGGGATTCTACCGATGAGACGATTTTCGTGTAGTTGGAGGTAACGAAGTTCGGGAAGATTTGCAAGCTCCTTTGGAATTTCGCCCTTAAAACTATTGAAACTCAAATAACTGCATATTTTGGGCAATGCGTGTCAATTATGCAAAACGAAGTAAAGAAATAAACTGGATAGAACTGAATAGTCTGAAAGGGAAAAACATTAACATCACTCACAGATGCGTTAGCTGCTTTAGTTCACCAATTTCAGGAGGAATGGCATCTTGCAGCTTGTTCCATCTCAAATTACTGATAAAAAGAATATAAAAGGGAGACAATTAGAATAGGCATATTTATGCAGTAAGGACAAAAGATGAAATGAAAGATAGAGATGAAGTCATAAAACTTATAAGTACAAATTGAGATTTCAAATTAGACCGAAATTCAGAAGAGATAAGTTTGGTTTAAAAAATAGGATGATACTACTGACGAGCTCATCTGACATTTTCAGAAGATGAAGTCTTAAAACTTAGAAGTACAAATTGAGATTTCAAATTAAACTGAAATTCAGAAGAGATGTGGCTGGTTTAAAAAATAATATGATACTACTAACGAGCTCATCTGACATTTTCAGAACTCAAACAGCTGCAGACAAAGCTCTGAAAACACGATTAGCTTGTGTACCAGTATGTGGACACAAAATACATCTCATTTAGCAAAATTACTTTTCAATACTTTTCAGGAACTCTTAAGTTTGCTTGTAGCTTTGAATGCTTTGTTAAGTTGTTGGGCTAATTAAAACCCATCTTAATCTATGTTCCGTCCTTGACCAATCCCAGTAATGTATATGGCCAACAATTGTTACTAATTAAACAAGAAATATTTATTAACCATATGCAGCATGCAGTAGGGACAAATAGAGAGCTTATTGTTCATCTATGAAAAAGTACAGGAATTTACAGTATCTTAAGATGCTTCAACCGTCCGATTTGAGATGGAATTGGCCCGGTCAGTTTGTTATTGTGTAGATCCCTGCCAAAAGAATAGTGATTGGAGATTTCAAATAATATCGCATGATTTAAAGAGAAGTAAAAGAATTGCTCGTATGACAGCAGAATAAAAGAGATTAAGTCCATACAGCCTCGTAAGATCCACCAGGTTGGTAACTGCAAGTGGAAAAGGACCAACAATAGAAACTGCGTACACTTCCCTGCAATGTAAGTAAACATGGGGAATGAAAGAACTGTCGAGAAAGAGAATACGATGGTCGAATTCTTACAATTCTTTATTACTTAATAACGTGAAAAGAGTGTGCACAAGATTCGGGAATTTTTTTTTTCTTACAAGAAAATAGCAAAAGGGGCTGAAACTCACAATTCGGTAACAACTCTGAAATCACTTCCACTCACAGTCGAACATGTGACACCAGACCACGGCGGCAAATCACCATCTCCACAAGGATCATCACCGACCCAAGCATACACCACTCTCCATCCTAGCGACGCCTTTATTTCATTTAATGCCTTCACTGTTAATCAGAAAAAGAAAAAAAAACGGTACCCGCGAAAATACGAGATTTAGCAACTACACATATGCAATCACAATATTACATAGAAAAAAAAAATCCATAGCACCCATTTAAACGATTTTGCAGTGAAGCCATTAGGAAACGGTTTTAGATCCCGAAAACCGATACTGGTAAAATTCGGGCATAAGCTTATACGAAGCTCAATGCTACTAGATTTCAACCTAATGAGAACTCCCAACAACTTAATAGAACAAAGAATACAATTACCGTTTTAAACGATTTAACTAAATCATCTACTAACTACAAAACATCAATTTCAATGGAATGGCATAATCAAATTAGTAAAATATTTTTTCTCCATAAATATACAGTCGTTCAAATAAACCCAAACTAATTTATCAAATCAACAATTACTTCCCAACCAAATCTAATATTCTTCCAAATTGAGAATGCCAAGTAAATAAATCAGCAATTCTACTCTCAAGCAGTAAATATAATTAAACGTGAGAGAAAGAATGGATCGGGAAATTCACCATCTCGCTTTAGGGTTTTGCAGTGGACGAAATCGTTGAGGAGCAAGGAGACTGCGATGAATAGATGAAAAGCTGAAGAAAGCAAACGGAGATGAATCGCCATTGTCGATTCGCTTTTTCCTCCGGAGATCGGGATTACATACAGTAAGTATCCCACTGTGTGTAGTGTGTGTGAGAGAGAGAGAGAGATAATCTGATGAAGCTGTCCAGTTGGAGACGACGCGTGAAATCGGTTGATCTCGTCGGTGGGTTTTTCTTCTCTTAATTAATTAATATTGGGATCTTCTGCAAATGCGATAAAAGATGAAAGAGATCAAAATAAATGCGTTGGAGTAACTATTATAAATGATACTTTGCCCCCTCAATTATATGAATTAATACTTTGGCCCCTCAAGCTATAAGATATGTCATATATGCACTTTGATTCCTCGAGCTGGGAAAAAGAGTACAATTGTTTTAACTTTTAATTTACCCATCTTTTCTTCAACTAGATTCGGCCTGAAAACCAAATTACTCGATTCTCGATTTAAGATCGATTGGTAAAAATTACTTGAACATAGAACCAAGTTAAGAAAAAAATGAGTATCTTTATTTGATTAATAGTAAAATGCTGCTTGAGCTCGTTTCTGATATGCCTAGCCCAAAAGACTATAAGCTCCTCCCAAATTTCTTGTGGTAGGAAGGCCCACTTGGTTCTAATTGAGTTAATCAAGTTTAATTAGTTCAAGTCACATTAATTTAATGAAGCATATAAATACATATAACACTTGAAAATTAGAGATAATTCTTGATCATTTTTACCAATCACATTCTTGATGTTTTTTTTTTCGAGTTATTCTCTCAATTCGAAGGTTGACTTGATCGTCACAGAGTTTTTACCGGGACCAAGCCCCGACGCTCACGTTTGTTTAGTAGATAGCAATCCACGAGCAATTTGAAGAATCACACATGTTCTTGAAGAGGATTCCATGTGGATCATCTATATATCTTTTTGACCACATTCGATCAGGTTCAACTCGGTTGCTTATCGAACCATGTTTAAATATCTATAAAACTCGATGAAAGTTCAAACAAGCATGAACAACCATCTGCTCGTTTCGACTCGATTTATTTGCGCCTCTAACAATATATATGGAATTTATACGAAAAAAAAAAAAGCAATACTTATACTTATTAATTAATACCCCTAATTAAACCAAAAGAAATTAGAAAAAAATGGTCAATAAATACAAAGTGGAAGTACAGGTAGAAAGCAGCTATTGAGTTCAATGCAAAAACTAAGGATTGTCATGGGATTCATGGCCTTTCACTAAATTCACAATTATACCCTTTTGACTTCTCTTCTTTCAAATTCAATTTTACACCTCACAAAGAGTGACACAATTAGTGCATGCATTGCATAATAAAATAAAAAGTACACTAATAAACATTGAAATTGATTGAAATATCTTTTTTTCACATTATCTTTTTAATATTTATACGTTTCCCCAAGTTTTTGTATTCCCAATTTTGGAATATGCTGTTTTCTCGTATCCGTTTCCCCGTTTCCACATATCCTCGTTTCCGTATCCGTGCTACATTAATTAAAAGCACTAGTGGCATGCAAAATTGAGAAGACAGATAATTTAAAAAAAAAATTACAAATTCAAAAAGGCAAATGCTTTGGCTCAGAAAAAATTGGATGCAGAATCAGATTGGCAAATTAAATGGCATGCAAAATGAGAAAATTGCAATTAATGTACTTATTTTTCTCTTTTTTCAAGTTATGTATTTATTGGGATTGTTATATTTATATTTTATTGTACAGATCCTAAGCTAAGGGAAAAGACCCTTTTGCCCCTACAACGTAACCAACTCATTGAATTTAATTTTGGCATCATACCAACACAGTTCCAAAAATTGATGAGAATCATGGGATTTTCTTGAAAACTATTGAACATTGATGGAGAAAAAAACAAATAAATTAAATATTCACTTGAAAAATAAAATAAAATAAAATGAGCAAATTATAGGCTAATTAAATTTGAAATTGATTGAATCAGGTACGGTTAAACAAACCCAACATGAAATTTAAAACCGAATTAACTAGAATTATTCATCATTCTATATTACTAACTACACTATAGGAACTAGATCAGTTTGACTATTTCCAGGGTTGTTTTTGCTGCTTCCACTCCATCTCTCCTGAGTGGTGTAATCCAAAAACAAGCTTGGAAATAGCCAATTTGCTGCAAATTCATTTACACAACCGAAAAAAAAAAAGAAAAGAAAAAAGAAAAACAGAAAGCAACAAAAGAAGAACAGTGTCTTTATGCATACTGCCATGCTGAAACTCTGACTCTGATTCTGACTCTGAGTCTGAGAGCTGACTCTAAATCTTGTGATCTTAGAGAAAAGTTCAAACAAAGATGAACGATTTTTTTGTTATAGTCAAATCTCGGATTAATTGAAAAAAAAAAAAACAAATTGAAGTTTAGGGTTTTTGATCAATTATGAAGGGGGTTGGGGCCGGAGGGTACTAATCTTTTCTCAACGCCGTATCTTGGATCAATCTCGTCGTCGTCGGGCGGCGGCGGCGGTGGGGGAGGGAATGGTGGACCGCAGTGGCGGAGTCTTTGGAGGTGGAGACGGATGGCCGGCGGCAGTTGGGCGGCGGAGATTGGGTGGCAGGAATTCTGGCGCCGCCCCACGCGCATCAGCGTCATCATGTTGTTGTTGTTGTGCCGGGATTGGGAAATGGGTGACGGGGTGGCGGCGGCGGCGGCGGTGGCGGTGTATGCAGCGAGTATAAAGAGAAGAAACGGTATGGTGATCCTTACGAGAATGTTTCTCCGGTGATATGAGAAGCTTGAAAACAGAGAACTTCTCATTTTCATGTTCTTTTCCGAGAGAGAGAGATGAGAGAGAGAGAGAGAGAGGGGGGGATGTTTATGGTTTATTAGTGTTATAAGGTTATATATATATATGTGTGTGTGTATTGGTGTTAGTGGTTACAGTTTACAAACTGAACTGCACCCATTATATATTTGATACTATGATTAATCATTTTCTTTTTCTTTCTTTTAATAGTGCATCAAATTAAACTTTTTTTTTTAATTTTTAGGGTAAATTACAACCAAACCCCTGAGGTATAGTCAATTTGCGAAAAAACCCTCTTATATGGATAACTGCATCTACCCCCTCAACTATGATTTTTTCTTACATATTCACCCTTATGGTGTCAAATTCAAAATAATCATCTAGATTTCATGGAATGTACTTTACTTTGTACTCGTTTTGTGTAAAAATACAGTTTCTGATGCACCACAATCTGATATATACAAGCCAAGAAAGACATATTATGATCATCTTGTTTCAAAATGTGGAGTTCGAACGGGATAAAACGGGTACAAAAGTGATAATATTCCATATAATCTCGAAGATTCCACTAAATTTGAAACCGCAAGGGTGGACGTGTAAGAAGATTTATAGTTGAGAGTTGTGGTTGTAGTTACCCAAACATGAGAGGTTTTTTTGTAATTTAACCATACCTCAGGGGTGGTTGTAATTTACCCAAGTTTTTATTTATTTGGTAAATTACGGTCAGCCCTGAAGGTAAGGTTGAATTACGAAAAAAAACCTCTCTTGTTTTGATAATTACAACCACATCTCTCTCAACTACAAATCTTCTCACACGTCCGCTCTTATGATGTCAATTTCAACATAATCTTCTAAATTTCGTGGAATATTCTGTATTTTGTACTTGTTTTGTGCAAAAATGTTGTTTTTGATGCACCTCAATTTTGATATTTACAAGTCAGGAGACACATTTTATGATCATCTTGTTTTAAAATGTGAAGCTTGAATGGGGTCAAACAGGTACAAATTGGAGAATATTCTACATAATCTAAAAGATTCCACTAAATTTTACACCCACAAAGATTCATAGTTGAGGGGTGATTGTAATTACCAAAAGACGAGGGGCTTTT